GCGGGGTTTGCTCCGACGGAACTCTGGGCACCGGGATTTGTCAGGAGGGAAACTGCTCACGGGGTCTCGGGAGTGAAGGTTATGGGTAGGACAGAGGAGAAAGGTCACAGAACGGACACAAGACACAGAGCCAGGGCACACCATGAACAGTGAACTGGGCAGCCACTCTGGAAAACTGGCTAGCGACCGACAGGGTGCAGGGCAAATTGAGGAAATCGCGTTCCAACTTCCCCTGTGCAGGGACCGCTTACACCCGCTCGAAACGCGTCACAAGTTCCGCGGGGACCGCAGAGGGACAGAGACGTTGCCAAGATAATCCAACACCGTGCAGTGGCGGACAGATTAAGAGAGGTCTCTGAAAAGCTGGAGGACAACAAACCGAGGCCCCGTGCTGCGACCCTTCCGGGAAGGTTTGAAACGTTAAGGTTTTCGCAATATCAGGTTTGAATCAAAAAGAAACTTACCAATCTTCCCAGCTCCAACGGAACTGGAAGTTGCTCAAGTGGTGAGAAAACCAGTTAATGAATCTTTATTAAAAGAAAAAAAAACACAAACCCACCTCCATTAAACGCCAGAAATGCAAGAAAACATCAGTTAAGATTCTCTTATAGACACACTCTACTGTTCGAGGACAAGCTTAAGCTCTAAAGGTATTACACCACTAAACAGGCATTCACCTTAACACTTACGAAAAACTGAATTCAGAGAGCCCGAGAGAGGCTTTTATGGACAAATAAGAGCCTGTCACGTTCTGCTGTACCACACAAAGAGATGGCCTGTTACACTAACAATTAAAACGTAACCTTAGGGTGAATATGCAACCTTTTTGGTGAGTAATTAACAGCTCTCCTACACAACGCAGACATCACTCAAAGGGCAAAATCACCCATGCTCCCCCTCCGGTGGCACACAGGCCACCAACCCCACTTCCAACCCGCCTCCCAGAGCATCAGGGAGCAGGCACAGTAGTAGGTAAGGGTGCCCTACACACCCAGGAACAAGGGAAAGTTGCCACCAGTCTCAGCTGTCCGGTACAGACCCCCGGCGCTGTGACCTCCGGGGAGTGTGTCTGGGAAGGAGAGCCAAGCTGTCAGTCCCCTACCTTCTCTTCAGGTTGCTCAAAGCCAGAGCACAGGGAACATTTCCAGTCATACCAGGAAGGTATCTAACAAGGATTTCTGCCTACGCCTTCCACAGCCTCTACGTTTCCCCTGTACACTGAGTATTGAGGAGTATTTATTTTCCATTGTCTCCAAAACACATTTACCTGTCCACACATGTTGTATTCATTGTATCCAAACGCATGTAGAGCATTTCTGTGGCTTGTGCGAGCTGGAAGGTTCCCATTAAGGTTAAATTACTAGATGTCAGATGCTGCTCCTTTCAGTTTTTGAATAGAATGTCACAGAATCACAGAACGGTTT